ACCCCTTGCACCTGGCCAGGGGGCCGATGGCTGTCACCTGCCCAGCTGGATCCCCCTCAGCCCCATGCTGCTGCCCGACTGAAGATACAGAAAAGTCCCTGAACAGGGACAGGCAAGGACCTGAGCTTGGCACAGCCTGCAAAGAGGAGAAGCAGCCGGCCTGGTGTGATGTTCCTGGGGGTGGGGGGTATAGATGCCAGCCTCCTCTCGTGTGGTCCCCACCCTTTGTGTGACCTCCTCACCCGCCATCCCAACACAGCAGCCAGGCGACCTTGCTAAGACCTGCGCGATGTCCCATCTTCACTCACAAGCCACAAGCAGCTCCACTTTCACTCAGGGTCAAAGCCAAGGCCCAGGGAGGTCTGCGGGGCCCACAGCCCTGACTGATACCCAGGCACTCTGTTCCCCAGCCTTACTGCCTGGCCACACTGGCTGCTTCCGTGCTCCTTCAAACCCCAGGGCCTTCTCACCTGGGAGCCCATGCGCTCCCTGTGCCCAAAAGGTTGCCCCCTCCTTCCCACTGTGCCCCCACTTCCTTTGGTTTTTCCTTAGTGTCTTCTTTTCCATGTGGCATTACTGCCACCCTCTCTGGAATCCCAGCCCTTCCCATTTCTGATCTCTGTGTCCTATTTCCCTTAATGCAAACTGCAATCTTAGGCACTACTGTAATTATCTCATTTTATCACCTCTCTCTCTCTCTCTCTCTCTCTCTCCCCCTCCCTCCCTCCCTCTCTCTCTCTCTCTGATATATAGAATCTGTCTCTGTCTCTCTCAGCTTCTACATGGGTGGGGATTTTCATCTTATGCTGTTTCCCCAGCCTCAGTGCCTAGAACAGTGCCTGGCACATAGTAGATGTACAAAACTTGTTCAGTGTATGAACATGTGAATGAATAAACGAGTCCATACCAACCATTCACTTGCTAACCTGTTCTGATACCTTGGCACTCTCTTGAGAAACCAGGCATGTGCCTGTTTCATATTCTACATATCACTCATTTTAGTGAGTGCCGTGGTAGACAAACATACATTTGAGTGTGCTAGTATCTAAAAAGATTCGGTTCTCTCATTTCCATTTGGCTTCAACTGCTTCCTGACCTCCATGGCTCACCTAAACAATGTTGAAATGTTTGGAGTCTCTTATGAACACCGTGTATTTTTAGACTGCTTCTCAAAGGCAACGGGAGAATGGACCTTCTCAGTGTGGGCATGGTTTGGTCCAAGGTAAGGGGGAAGTAGGCTTGACCATCGCTACCCTTTGGTGGTGGTGACTTCAGAGATGAGTTACAATGATTGTGACAACCAGGCAGCTTTCTTGGGTGGGGAAGACACCTTCTCATGAATACAATGAAGATGATTTTCTCAAAATGATGGTATCAACAAGTGATGAGACAGAAATGAACCCCTGAAGTTAACTGTAATGATACATTTCAGGGCACTACTGGCAGCATCTAAATGGACCAAAAGGGCTGTGTGCAGTCATAGACACGTGCACTTGGGTCTGAAAAAACAAAATCTCAGAAGAACTTGGTCTGAAGAATTAGCAGAGGGTTAGGTAGACCAAGGTTGGGCTAGGTGGGACTTGTTGATTCAGGTTCACTATTCCTAAGTCGAGCAAGCGCTTTCTGTAGCCCACAGAGAGCCAATCTGGAGACGTTAGGATAAAAATCATGAAATTTTGCTTGACATCCTAGTTAGGGAACTGCGACCTTGAAGATTTCAAGTCCCTTGAAATCTTCAGGTTGAAAACATTAACATCAGCAAGTGTTGAAATAAATTCACGGCAGACAGCTGTTTGGAAGTGAATGTGAGCATCTCACGGAAAGACACAGCATATTTTCCAACCTGGACCTGGAAAGTGACTAGTAAGAAAGACTGAAATGGTCAGAGATGGGGAACAAACCTTTTCTTCCCAAAGGCACTTGTCACCCGAGTACCTGCCGGATGTCACAGGCACTTTGCTGAGCTGAGTCCCTAAGGCCACTGTCAAGGAAATGACTGTGGGTCTGGGAAGGAAGGGGACTGGTAGAATGGAAGGCACAGAGCATAGGATTCACGAATCTAACTGGAAGACCAGTTCCTCCCAGTTGTTCTAGGAACTGGGCCGCATGCCTATTACATACTGGAAATTCAATAATAGCAATGCAGGTAGGACTCAAAGCTGGTTCGCACACTACTGGGCCTGAGCATAGTGCCCCCCAGGCCTCTTATCCTGGGGATGATATGGGACCAAAGTCAGGAAGAGCCCCTGCAAAGACTTCCTTCCAAACTGCCCCACCTCCCAAGCTCCTGTTCAAACCACGGCAAACTCAAAGGCTTTGGAGACTGGGTGAGCAGACTAACTAGCCGGCAGCCTTGGGGAAGGGGGATGGCCGGCCGGAAGTATTTCTGGGAGGAATCCCAGGGGGGAACAGAAAATAAAGGAACACAGTGGGGATGACCTAGCACAAGCCTTGCCCTGCGAGACCCTATGGGGGCTGGCCCTGCCCCTGCAACCCTGGCACTCTGTTCGAAGAGCCGTTTCTTGGTTAGGAACTTTTGAACTCTTGGATCCTGTGTGTCCCTTAAAGAAAACCCTGATTTGGGACAGTTCTGTAGCCTGAGGCTTGTTATTACCCAAAAATCTTGCCGAATTCTATTTAACTCAAGGTCATTATGGGAAACTGGGTTGTCACCCCTTTCCCTGGATATGTCAGCTGTTTGCAGAGGTGCTGATACTTCCCCCGTCTTTCTCTTTTGGGGACCTCCCCACAAGACCAGATCCCACTAGAATCCAGGCACGAGGGCTCTCAGGTAGCTTCTACTTCTACCAGGGGAGCAGGGCGTCCCATGGCTCCCCAGGGCAGGCTCTCTGCTGTCACTGCAGGCTGTGGGTGGCACTGACCCTCTCCTGTGCTCCTAGACTACCTTCAAGCCCACTGCTCTATAACCCGTGTCCCCAAGCCGCTCAGCTGTCTCCCGTAAGTTCCCCACCCCCACAACACTTGGGCCTCTGTCCCTGAGCCCCCTGGGCCCCGAGACACTGTGCCTCTGGGAGTTGTCCCAAAGGCCACTCACTGGCCCCAGATGCGCTCAGATAAGAAGCTGCGGTTCCAAATTCCCCGGTTCCAAATTCCCCGCCTCGAGAGCCAGAGCAAGCGGAAAGGCTCATTACAAAGTAGCTCCAGTAATTGGTCAGATAATTATGAGCTATAGGGAGCCCTCGTGGTCATCCCGCCTGGTCCAGTGACTGAACCTAGTGTGGGTAACCCTGCCAACAATTTAAGAGTATTTCTAATTGGCTCTGGGTGTCCCTGGATGAGGTCCCTCCCAAGTTAGGTGGGGCTATGACTTCCCGTGCACGGACCTGCAGGCTCCACTCTGCTTTATTAAACCCACCCTCAGTACTATCTCCTTCCTCTAATTTAGGATTGTTTATAGTCAGTCAAGGTTTTCCAGATTGACTAAGAGTTCCTCTTCTGCCTACCATAGTCGGTTATCAGTGCAGCGGAAGAGCCAAGGACTGGGGCCAGCGGGGGAGTCAGAAGGTCTCTGTGCTGTGCAGACAGCTAAGGAATGACAATCACACACAGCCATCCCAAACCACCTTCTCTCCTCCTCGGCCAAGGGCTTTGGGAGCCCTGAATGGGGTACCATCTCAAGGAAGTGAAATGCTGAGGACAAATCTTTCTTCCTCTTTTTCCCTGTGTCTAAGGGTTAAGGACTCTTCTGAAGCCCCCTTCCAACTGCAAGGTCAAGCAGCTGTCCAAACCACCCAAGAGGAAAGGGAGTCCTGGATAGCTCGACCCCCATTAACTCAGCCTCCACAGGCCCCCGGCAGCCTGGCTAAGAAAGAGTTAATCAGCAATCAGCTTTGGCTGATAGTTCAGGCTCCAAAGTTCAGCCCCAGTCCGAGCCACCCCGGAGGAATTGTAAATCTCAGGGCAGAATTTAACAAAAGAAAAGCAACCTGGAACTACAAGCAGGCTTGGTTTCCACAGTACATATTTACTTAATCCCCAAGGTATGTGGCTCCGTGTCAGATCAGCTGGCTTTGCTGGCCCCTTTGCCCCCCTCATTCACAACAGTTTAAATTTCAAACTAATTCCCTGTTTTCCAGCTTCCTCTTCACTGGGCTGGCTGGAGACAGCCCGGCCTGCCAGCCTCAAATCCCTCTCTTGACTGCTCTTGTCACTGGGTGAGTCAGCCTGGACGGAGTTGGGTGACAGCTGGCTCACTCTCTTTACTCTGAACCACGAGGTCTCCAAACACCAGGGCTGGAGGTGCTGGGATCAGCAAAGCAGCAGTGGCCAGTGTCACCTCCCACCCCTATGGGAGGGACCCCCTCTGGGACGTGCTGGGGAAGGAGACAGGGTTGGAGGTGAGAACAAGGGGTTTTTATCATACGCTGCTTAACCTCGGTCCTTTTCCCTGGTTTCCAAACACCTGGGCTTCCCAGTGCCTGTCCTGCTGGTCTCCATCACCCTAGCCAGATCCTTCCTTCTCAACCCCAAGCCAAGCCCAAGTATCGCTCTCCTGTGCCTTCAGAACTGCAGCCGCCCAGGTTGGGCTGGGAAGCGGGTTGCCAAGGAAAATACCAGGCGCCAGCTAGCAGGCGGCTCCCAGCTGTACTGAGGAGCCGCACGCCCTGAACTCACCAGGGTGGCTGCAAAAAGGGAAAGGGTTGGGGAGCGCGAGGGTGGGGGTTGTGGGGGGAGAGATCCAATACTTTCCTTAGGGAGGGAGGAACGTGGGGATGGGTGAGTTTCCTACATTTCGAGGAGGGGGTAATAGCCAGCCACCCATCCCCATAGGAGCGGATCAGCTCCGGACATGCCAAAACACAGTCGGGTGCCGGGGAAATTTACAAGGTGAAACCGACCAGCTCAATCCCGGCTGGTGGCGCAGAGGAGCCGGGTGGCCGGCGACTCCAAGCTCCCGCAGCCGCAGCAGGTGGGCGCACCCCACGCCGGTGGGTCCCTCGCCCGCAGCGCGCCCGCCCCGGAGTCGCCGCGCCCCGTACCTTTCTGGCGCCGCGCTCCGCGAACTCTCGGGCCAGCTGGCGCCCGATGCCTCGCCCTCCGCCGGTGATGAGGACGCTCTCCCGGGACAGGTCCCGCAGCTTGGCGGGCAGCACCAGTCCGACGGCTGCTTTCGCCACCAGATAGATCATCTTTAGCGGGAACACCACCAAGGCGCCCAGCCATTTCCACACCATCCTACGCGCCGCGGAGCCGGGCGGGGGACGGAACTCCCCGGACCGAGCAAAACGGGAATCGAGAAAGAAAACACCCCAAACAATAGTCAGTAACCCGAATACGGCGGGGAGAGGCGTCCCACCGGGTCACTCTTGCAATGACCTCTCCCCCAAAAGCAAAGCACCGGGTGAGAAAAAGGGGTGAAATTAAAAAGAAAAAAAAAAAAAAGAAAAAGAAAGCAAAAAGATAAATCCTCCTCGGGAGGAGAAAAAGCGTCTCCGTAGGTTGGGACGGAGCGAGGGGTGGCGGGGAAGCCGGAGGTGGGACGTTCCGACACGAAGTTTCTTGCCCTAGCAGCCGTTTGGGCTGGGGAATTCTCAGGTAATGTTTACAGACTGATAGAGGAGTTTAGGCAGGGAAAGGGAAAAAAAAAAAAAAAAAAAGGCACCAGTCGCAGGCGCGCACCCTGCCTCAGCCCCGCGGTTCCAAAGTGCAAGATTAAAAAAAAAAAAAAAAAAAGCCGTTTCCAAATTGTAGCGCCCCCCCTTTCTCCGGGGGGGGGGAAAGTGCTTGGAGCTCCCAGTTTCAGCCGGCTCAAAGTCTACCGGCTCATTGCTATTCCTGGGCTCAGGAAATTGCTCAAACGCGATCTGACTGCCAGCGGCGCGCAGGAGGAGCGCGGTCCGGGGTCCGGGGCTCGGCGCGCGGGGCTCGGCCTGGCGCGCGCCCGCTCCTCCGGCTCCCTCCCTCCTCCTTTTCCAGCAGAGGCCGGGAGTGCCGCTCGATCCGCTCCCTCTCTTCCTTTTAGCATTTATTGCCTTCTTTTTGACCTTTCCAACTTGGAGAGGGCCCTGGTGTGGAGCGCGCGTGGATCGGACACCCTCGTGTGCGCGGCCTTATTCATTGCCTCCCGGGGCGGCTGCGGCGCGGAGCGAGAGAACGGCCCTCCCCTCCCCATTTTTTTAATACCCCATTAAGTCTGATTGACAGTTAAAGTTGTTCCGAGGCTTCACTACCGTTCCTCTGAGTGGCTGCAGCCACCTCCCCTCCCCCTGCGCCGTCGCGGGGCGCGCGCCTGGGCGCGCTCCCGGGCTCGCCGAGACTCGCGCTCTCCCGGGACTGGCTCCGGTCTCTGCAAGCCACGACTTGCTACCGGTGTCCCCGAGGGCACGCAGCTGCCAGCCCCTTCCGGAGGCATTCCTCGCCGCCCGGGCCAGGTGACCACCCCTGGGAGCTCGCGCATGCCTTGATCTAACCAGGTCGCCCAGGGTTTATTTCAGGTCACTTGGTCATCCCCTGCCTCCAGGTACGACCCGGAAGTCACGCCCGACTTTTTCCCGGACCTCTTCTGTCTCCACCGAGTGCTCTTTCGAAGTCCGAGCCGATACCACGCGTGGCTGAGGGGTGGGGGTGGGGGTGGGGACCGCCGAGGTTTTGCTTTGAGGGGACGGGGTGGGCAGGGTAAAGGAGGCCTGCCTCTCTGCCCCGGGTGCCAATAAAATCTCCGTAAGATTAGCTGGGAGCATATTTATTGCTCATCGGGGCTAGAATTACCTTGACTGACAGCAATTTCCTTAATAACAAAAGCCTGTAAACAAAACGTCTTAAACCCGTGCCCCTGTGCTGCACAGGCAGCGGCTCCGCTCTTGGGTCCCCCCTGGGCGCTCCAGTCAGGCACCCGCCATGTAAGCTCCAGGCTCCCCGGTCTCCCTGCGGGAGGGTGGGACCGAGCTTTGTAGGGTTGTCGGTTGCAGGAAGTCTGGGAGGTGAGTCACGAAGAAGCAGCCCCAGTTAAAAGTGCTGATGGGACTTGCCTCCCGCCCCCTCTGAACGTCCCTGGGCGAGGAGGAAGAGGGAGCCAGCCCTCTCCAGCCAGCCTGGAGACTTGTTCAGACCCGAGCCTCTGCCCCAGAGATTCCAATGCAGCAGCTTGGGTGTCTTTTTTTTTTTTTTTTGGTGCTGGAGATCGAACCTATGGCCTTTGCACTAAGCTACATTCCCAGCCCTACACCCCTTGAGACAGGCTCTCCCTAACTTGCTAAGCTGCCCAGACAAGCCTCATACTTGCAGTCCTCCTGCCTCAGCCTCCCAGAGTGCTAGAATTACAGGCATGCACCTCCATACGGGCCTGAATGGGTAACTTTGCTGCCCTGCCTGAGTGAGAAAGTCCCTTTGAGAAATGCTGACTTGGGGAGGGAGACTCCCTTACAGAGATGCTGTGGTTCTTGGGAGAAGTTGGCAGTTTGGCGGATGAGGATCTTTGTCCAGGTGAATCGGAAGCCACTGGAAGAGTGCAGGTGAAGGAGGAAAGGATCAGGAAGAAACTATCTTACACTGGAGGGCCGCCCGGCACTCATTCCTCCCTCTGACCTTGCTATGGGAGTGTTGTTATCCCATTTTCCAGGTTGCCTGGCCAGGAAGTTTGCAAGGGAGAGGTCCAACCCCAGACTTAATTCCTCTTCCCACCCTGCCCGCCTCTGGCAAGAAGGGAGGAGAGGTGGAGGAGGAGGCTATGCCAAGGACTGCAGAGCTGACTCCCTCAGCCTCCATCCCACCCTGCAGAAGGATGACCGAAGGCCAGCCCCCTGCCCTCATCTGTTCCCAGGACTCCACCACGGTGACCTTTTGTTCCCATCTCCCATGTCTCTAAAGATGGGGCAGAAATCCCAGCTCGTGAGAGACAGGCCCTTTCTACCCACAGTGCCAGGCCTGCAGAGCAGGCTGAAGTCTAGAGCCCCGTGGCTCTCTGGCTGTCTGCACAATCTGTTATCCTTGGAGCCGCCTGGTGGCCCTGAGGGGACACTGCATCCCCAAGCTGCCCCAGCCTCCAGTTGCCCAGGGTCCTGCTAACCAGCTTTACTTCCAGGCATTTCTCCCCACATAGGATTAACACCCCAGGGTGCAAAGGGTCCGTGAAGATCCTAGCCCCTGCCCCCACTGTTTCATGGGGAGGACACTAAAGCACAGCAGTACCTAGCAACTCATTCTTAGGGAAGCAGGTTCACCCCGAGCAGCCACTTGACCTTGTTCAGATGCCAGACCAGCTGGGCTGTTCCTCGGGTGGGACTCGGACATGGAAGCTGGACCGTGATGAGAAGGAGGCAGGAACCCACGTGGACCTTCACATAGGCAGGGCAGGCAGGGCCTGCACACATCTCATTGAATTTCCTTTTCAGCCTGGGAGGTGGGCGTCATTGCGCCCATTCAATGCAGGAGGAAACTGAGGCTTAGCCACCCTGAACAATCCCTGTGAGGCCACAGAGGGTGCTCCCCATCTTGTTTGGGGCAAGTCTGAGGAACAAAGAACATCGTCAGGCAATCTGCGAAGGGATTGGCAGAGCCAGAGCTGGCCCGAGGTGGATGGTGCCCTTGTTTCTATTTGATCCACCTTCAGGATGTGGGTTTTGTGGGTCTGGCATCCCTGGGGGGCCTCGGCTCTTCTCCAGCTTCAGCTGCCCAGAGAGGAGCTGTCACTGCCTCCACTGCCCTCCCTGCAAGTCCCCACAGAGATGAGGGTGAGGGACGCTGGGCAGGGGTGCGAGGCTCAGCAGCCAGCCTTGAGAGTCCCTGTGGCCTGGCTTCGGTGACAGCAGCACGGGATCTGTCCTTCCCCTCCCCTGGCCCCCATCCTTTATCCTTTGCCCTTGGTAACCCTCCTCTCTGTTTCTTGGGCCGGGAGGTGCAGAATTGAACTCCAGGGTGAAGTTTGAAATTTCACATCCCAAGCTGGGAGGAGGCCCCTTCGTGGTGTTTTCACTCCCTTCCTGACGCCGTGAAAGGCGCCTTTGTGAACGCGAGGGGAGAGGTGCACTGCAGCCTGCAGCACTAACTTTTTCCATGACTCAGCCTTGCCGGGCAGTGTGGCCAGGGAGGTGCGAGGAAGGCTCTTTGGCTGAGCTGCCTTCCAGCCTTTGTGCGCAGAGAGAGTGAGCAGCCTCGGGGGTCCTGCAGGGGCCTTAGGCTCTAGCTGCTCCCTGCCCTGCCCGCTGCAGCCAGTTGCGTCTTTTTTGCCTCTCTGTTACCAAGATCTTGGAAGCTCGTGTGTTGTCCCTTTACAGAGCACTGTTGTCACTGCCATTGCAGCTGACGGCTGAGACCCCAAAGCCGAGAGTTAAAAACATGATGTTTAAGCTTTACTTTCTACTTAGCCAAGCCTTCCAGAAGTTGAGAAAGTCACTCACCCAAGACCAAGCAGCTCTAAGAGGTGGCAGTGGGAATTGAACCTGGGATAAATGCTTATGTTTTGTCTACTTCATTGATGTCCTTCAAAACACACAGACCTCAGAGCAGCAGTGGAGGATCCAAGTGCAGACTTCCAGCACAGTGTCCTCGATGGGGCCAGGAATCTGCACGGGGGCCAGGCGGGCAGTTGTTGAGTGCTGGATGTTGGAGGCCCTGACTTCCAGCACTGCCCCTCTGTGGTCCCAAGGTGCACACAGCTCCTGCATGAAGCTTTGCCTGCCTCTTCCTCTGCGGTTCAGGCTCTTCCCTCTGGTTTGGTGGCTCTCATGAACTCCACAGACACCGAATGTGGAGGAGAGGAGCTGGAGGAGCAGGGGTATGTTTAAACACCTACTCGGTCAGTGGGCGCTCAGTGGGGCAAGGCGGGATGGGTCCGAGGGGGATGTGCGGCAGTGATTTTGGCCTTGCTGTTGGGCATCTCTGGTTCAGATTCCGGCTCTGCTGCTCCCCGTTAGGGCTCCCTTGGGCAGTCACTTCCCCTTTCTGATCTTCAGCTTTCTCATTTGTAAAGGGAAGATGAACCCGAGGGTAGGGCTAAGCTCTTGTGAGATCCGGAATCAGGCACCTAGCCACTGCAAAATGCTCAGTAAATGCCAGTTGTGTTTTTGTTTGTTTGTTTTTGGAGTCCTGGTGATTGACCCCATGCTAGGCAAGAGTTCTACCTCTGAGCTACATTCTCAGCCCTTTTTAGTTTGAGACAAGGTCACACTAAATTGTCTTGGTTGGCCTTGAACTCATGATCTTCCTGCCCCAGTCTCCCGAATAGCTGGGATTGCAGCTGTGTAACCCCAGGCCAGGCCCAGCTCTGGTTTTCATGGTGGCATGGTCCCTGCTCCCGGGACAGATTTTGCTGAGAGCCAGCTTCATCACTGGAAGAGAGGCCAGATCTATATTTAGTGGTCTGAAGACACTTCCGGAGTGCTCTGGGGCAGAGCTGGTATGTCCTCACTTTACAGATTACTTCCCACCCCACCCTCCCAAGGCTGGGTAAACCCTTTTTATCCTGCAGGATTTTTTTTTTTGGTACCAGGGATTGAACTTGTGTCCTTGTGCTTGTGAGGCAGGCAGGGGAACCACTGAGCTAAATCCCCGCCCCCCTGCAGGATTTTTTTTTAGATCACATGGGGCTTTTTCCAGGAATCCTGCCTAGTTACCCCTCGTGGCTCCTCCCCACCAAGTCTGGTCCAGGGCTCCTTCCTCAAGGCCTGGTATTTCCCTCCCCCACTGTGCAGTGATTGCTGGG